CTGTGGGGCCACGAAACGTGTGAGGGGTGTGCCGAAATGGGTGTGCGGGACGCATGCGGACGGCAGCACTGGGGCCTTCGGTGGAGCTCCCTGTGGGGCCACGAAACGTGTGAGGGGTGTGCCGAAATGGGTGTGCGGGACGCATGCGGACGGCAGCACTGGGGCCTTCGGTGGAGCTCCCTATGGGGCCACGAAACGTGTGAGGGGTGTGCCGAAATGGGTGTGCGGGACGCATGCGGACGGCAGCACTGGGGCCTTCGGTGGAGCTCCCTATGGGGCCACGAAACGTGTGAGGGGTGTGCCGAAATGGGTGTGCGGGACGCATGCGGACGGCAGCCATGGGGCCTTCGGTGGAGCTCCCTATGGGGCCACGAAACGTGTGAGGGGTGTGCCGAAATGGGTGTAGGGGACGCATGCGGGCGGCAGCCCTCGGGCCTTCGGTGGAGCTCCCTATGGGGCCACGAAACGTGTGAGGGGTGTGCCGAAGTGGGTGATGACGATGACGATGACGACGATGACAATGACGATGATGATGATGATGATGATGACGATGATGATGATGATGATGATGATGATGATGATGATGATGGGAGGAGGGAGGAGGGGGAGGAGAGAGGAGGAGGAGGAGGTGGGACGCGGGGCGCTGTCTCTTCAAAACGAGGACCCAACACCACAGGATGGTTGGGAAAAAAAAGGAAACCGCGATAAGTGCCAGCCTGGGTGGCTGACACCTCCGAAAACTAGATCGCGCCGCAGGATTGACAACCATGGCGCTTCAGCAAGCGCGGCAGACAGAGAGAAGGTCTCGGCTGCTCCCGTGGAGGTTACGACACGCTTGAGACGAATCGCCAACTCAAGAGAGCCACACGAGCTCGTTTATGCTGTCGGTCCGCGGGATCTGCCGTCAAAATCAGTCGACCTCCTTGAGCTCCGTTTCGTCGAGCGGGCCCGGGGCCACCCGCGTCGGACACGGTGACAAATCTGAGAGAACTGGGAACCAGGGGCCGCAGAACTATTCTCTGGCTGGCAGTGCCCTTCAAATGCTTCACTCTCTTGATACGCATCAGAGCGTCACTGACCGTCGGAGAGGGAAGGGCGGCGCTCTGCAGAGAAGCTCTGGCCGATGCGTCTGGGCGGCTCTCTCGACCCAGCCGCTGGATCTGGGCCACCGTTGTTCTGTGCAGCTTTATCTCTTCTGGGGTCAGCGGCGCGTCGGGATCTGCTCGCCTCTCCTTGGCAAGTCTCATGGGGGCCAGCTGCTCTAATATGTACTTTTCCTGATCAGCGAAAATATTGCCACTGTTTTGTCTCGCGTGCCTTCCCGCAAAATCGGCCTTCCCGGTCTCCCATTTTCCGCGGCGAAGCCTGCCCCGGAGTCTTTCCTTGAAGCCCTCGCGCTCCTTTGGAGCGCTGGCGACTATCAAGGCGCCCGCTTCGCCCAAAACTATACAGCGCCTTTCTCCCTGGTGCGAACGCTTCATCCAGAGGCAAGGTTCTAAAAGGGATTTCGTGGAGCCATCTTCCGAGAGCCGCTGGGCAAGTGTCCTGCTCCAGAGCAGCGGGGCGCCATGTAACCCGCGCGCCCGAGCAATGAGCTCGATGGGCCCTCCAGGGGCCAAAATCAGACCTTGACGCGTTTCACGGAAGATCGACCATCTCGGTAGGTGCAGACGGTCTGACCAACAAAAAGCACGTTTACAGGCAGCGACCTCGAGCTGCCAGCCTAGCGAGCAAATCTCCTGGATCATGGCCATGATGCTCTCGGACTGCGGGGTCGAGGAGCACGCGTGCGATTCTTCGTTGTCGGGCGCGTGATGGGCTTGAACGCGCCACCTCGATCTGGCAAGAGCCCTGGGTCCCACTCCTGCATGCGGTTTAAAACGTCTGACCATGCGCGACCCGAGGATCCTATCGGGAAGCCGTCTCCTTGCGAGGGCAGCTTCCGCAGCGCTCGAAACTCGCGCAGCTCCTGAATCCAGAATGGACTTCAATCCCGCGGAGTCTGAAACGTCGAAAAGAAGTCTTCCCTCGCGCGTGAGGTTCTTCAGTGGAGCTTCGGCGCCTCGCCGAGACGGAGGATCCTCGCCCTTTCCATTCCCCGTGGACTTGGCGAAGCTAGCCTGGGTCTCCGGATGCCAACAAAAAACGTAATCGAAATGGGGCCAGGGGCAGAGTTCTCCCCGGAGATCCTCATCGAGCCCCTCCCCATCCTCTTCAACATCGGTATTGGACCTCCTCGGGGGCTCGGATGTCTCCCTCCCCGGAGACCTCGACCCCCCCCTCGCGGGCTGTGAGAGCTCGGCAGGCTGTCCGGCTTCAGCTCCGCGAGAGGGGCCTATGCTGGCTGAGCTGTCTGGAAGCAAGGTGAGCTGTCTGGAAGCAAGCTCATCCTTCTAATGCAGACGGGCGCGTCGTCTAGCAATCGGCCCCGCATTCCCGCGCGTTCCCTTTCCTGCGCCGCATCCCTGACTCTCCCTCCTGGCCCCCCTGACATGTCTTCAAGTGGCGTGAGACGCGGGCGCTGGGCCGGCGGGAGCTCGGTCGATTCCTGAGACTTCCGCCCCGCGGCGGGTCTCGCGTCGCCCCGAAGAAGACTGGGCATCTCGGACCCCATGGGCCCCCGACCTGGTGGGCCCGGGGCCGGAAGACAAACTGCTCGAGATGGAAAGCGGTTGGACCGTAGATGCAATGGGCTCCTCGACTGGCGGAGGAGGCGCCTGTGCGGGAGGAGGCGCAAGTGGGGCGGGAGTCCCCTTGGACCCTGCTTCCTCCAGGTCCCGGGCTTCCGGGGGAGGAGGGCCCTCGGCCTCGGCGCCCGCTGCCCCGACGCGCCCCCCAGGAGCTCGCTGAAGCTCCCGGCGCAACTTGGCAAATGGCGGTGAGTCTAGAAGCTCTGCTCCCCAGGATTCCTCCTTAGTCGCTCACCTAATCTGTTCTTGCCCATGCATCAGCAAACGAGAACCCATCGCCACCCGCGCTGTGGTTCCCTGTTGAAAAACCACGGCCCCGGGCCCAGTCCACCTCGAACGCGTGCTCCAGGGACATCCATCGCGGTCCTGGGAGGCCCCCCCCTTTCTCCAAACGTGCGCCCAAGCCCCGGGGGGGGGCGCCATGTCCACGTGCTTTCTGGCCTTGCTGGCCGCCAGAAGTCGGTCCCGGGTGTCCATGGCCATCGCGGCTTTCTTGGCTTCTTCCCTCAAAGCATGCTTCTTGGCGAAGGCCGTGGCGGGAGAGTTGGAATCAGTGGTTCCCCTGAAAATATCCCCAACCCCCACTTCGTCGTGAACCTCATCAGATAAGAGAGACCTCTGGAGGCGAGGGTTCTCGCCAAAAACCATCTGATAGCCCCCCCCCCCCCCCCTTTGGGCATGAATATTCTTGGCCGAAATAATCTCGCGCGGCAGCTCCTCCACTTCTTCGAGCGAGGAGGGTTCTGCGCCAGTCGCGGCGCGAGCCAGCGCCGACTTCGCTAACCCCCATGTCTCTCGCATCTTCCGTTTTGCCAAGGGGATTCCGCATCGCAGACGCGCTGATGCACCCTGGGATTTCCGAGGCCCCAGGACAATGAACCCTCGAACTCCTGTCCCCCGTCAGTCATCATCATCGTCTCTGGTACCCCATGGGGTCTTACCCGGTGCTTCAGGAAGGCGTTCCACACCTCAGCTGACGTGGCGGCTCTAAGCAAGGTGCAGACCTGAAGATTCGACCCGTGGTCGATCAGATTGAGCACAGGGTGAGTGGAACCGAGAGCGTGAATGTAATTAAAACAGGTCGGCCGCGACCAATTTGTTGAATCGGTTCTCCAAGGAAGATGGGCTTTTCTTCTCCGCCCAGGGCGAGAGCTCGACGCGCGCGCCGGGCAGCGAAAATACTTTGGGGCCCGCTGGATCACTTCCTTTCTCGATTTGCCGACCTTCAAGGTCCTCGCGAAATGCTCCTTCCTCGGAAGTCCCAGGGCAACGTGTAGCCTGTGCACTTCTTCCTGGAATTCCCTGGGGATCGAGGGCGCCTTGGAAATCCCTGGAGGGCCCGGGGGCCCGCGGGTTTCAGGCTCATCCTCGGAAGCGGTTTCTTCCAGACCGGGGGCCTCCGGGCCCGCCGATGGTTCGGCGACGGCCGACGGGGGGGGAGAATTCTCAATGTGGCTGAACGCCACCTGCTCGACGCCCCCTCGCGAGAGCGTTCGCCAGAGCGGGAGGACATTGTTCGGCAGCTAAGGTCCTGGCGCCGCCGGCGAGAACAGAGAGAGAGTGATTCCGGGCATCTGCGGTCATATTTTCCAGGAGCTGCTGGGAGTTCGGCATGAACCTAGGTGGGCTTCTGGGCCAAAACGCCGCCCAGGGTGGTCAGACCAAACTCGCGCAGGCCCCCATCGGACTTGTTGGGCTCCAGGTTGTTCCAGGAGAAACTCGGTGGACTTCAGTTGTCTCGAAAAGGCCCCGAACATATTCTCTATCAAGTTTTTTCGGCCTTCCGAAATCTGGCGCGTAGCGATTTGCACCGCGAGCCCTCGACAAAAAGGTGCTCTCTTGCTCTGTCCTATCTCTCTCGCCCGGGCCCGCCTCGTTCCAACTCGGGAGTCTGGCCACGGAGACCCCCCGACGCGGTGGAGTCATAAGAATGACCTCGGGGCAGTCGGACTCGATTATGGCCCGCGTCTTCCTTTCCTAGGCGAGCCTGAGATCCCACCCGGCGCGAAGGTCCTCGGCTCGAGAGGCCGCGCGCCCCCTCCTCTCTTTTTCCGGGGTGGCCCGGGGGGGTGAGAACAGTTCCAGGATCGGCGTCCTCTTCTAGCGGTCCATTTCGCGGATCGCATCCCGCCTTAGTTTCCTCTTTGTGACCCTCGCCCCCCTTACTTCTAGTGATCTAAGGACTTCTTCTCGCGCCCGACGGGGAACTGAGACTAGCCGCTGGGCCGGGGATCTCCCGAGGGAGGGGCGCTTGTCCAGCAGGGGCTTGCTCCGGGGCAAACAGGCCGGGATCCCGGCCGAGGCCCAGACTGAGATCGCCAGGGCGGACTGCTTGAAGCCCACCAGCTTGCGCGCTATCTCGAACGCGGAGGCCCCTGCCCAGAGCGAGTCGACATCGGTGGAAATCCTGTCGGGCGTGTTCGCCTGGATCCTTGGTCCCCGAAGCTGCCCCGCAGCGACGCGATCAGACTTCCCCCCTGCCCTCGGAGCGAGGTCGCCCAACAAAAACTTCCGAGCCCCAAGGGCGTCCAGCATTCTCTCGCCCCAGGCGGCCCCCTCGGAGACTTCCTTCAACGAAGCAGTGCCGTCCATTTCCCAGTCCCAGAGCCAGCCGCCCACGTGCGGGGATTCCCTCCTAAGTCCTTCAGGCCCCCCCCCTCCATTCAAAGACCCCGAAGCTTTTCGCGGCCCAGTTCCCGACGTCGGTCCCTGACGGGGGCAGTCCTTGAAGAGACTCCTGGGCCATGGGGCGAAAAAATCGGAATGCTCTCGGATGGTGGAGGCGAGAGAAGGATGGGGATGATGATTTTGTCGGCTCGCGCTCTTGAGTGTGGAGTTGCCCAGGTCGGCCTCGGGATCGAGTATGTAGTGGCCGAGAACCTTCTGGCCCGCCAGCTCTAGGCCTCCTCGCCGCTGATCGTCTCCGTCCTCATTGCCGCGTCGGGCGATGCCGAGCTGGCGGCCGCCCCGGTCATGCCGTCCCTGATCATTGTCACCAGCTCTCGAAACTGCGAGCGAGTATCCTCGAACTCCCTCCTCTGCTCCATCATCCACTGGGCGATCTCCTGGCGACTGCTCTCCTGGGTCTGGCGCAGCTCCTCGACCTCCCGGGGCCCCCCGTGTCGGTCCTGCGAGCCGGCGGGCTCCTGGCCGCCGTGGGGGCCGCGCATGGAGGAGGCGGCTTCGCCGGCGCCATTTCTGGGATCGCGCGCGTCCTGAGGCGCCCTGGCCCGGGCGCCGTTGAAGAACCTGGGCTGTGGGGAGGCCGCTGCGCCGAATTCTTCTTGACCTGCTGGTTGTCCGAGTTCCTCGCCTTGATCGCCGTCCTGCTGCGGTGCTGGTCGTGCTCCTCGAGATCCACCTCTTTCTTGACCGTCTCGCGCTTGAGCTTCGTCTGGGCTTTGTCTTCCGGGGTGTACTTCGTCGTCTCTCGCCTGGCGCCGCGCATGCGGCACTTCGCCCACCTGGCGTACTGGTTGCCGTGCTGAGGTCTGGCGCAGATTGGGTGGTCGCAGTCCTCCTTCTCGATCTCCTTGAGGGTGCCCGTCTTCAACCTCGGGTCCAGGCCGGCCAGTGGCCGCGAATCCGCGCGGGCTCGCAACGTGACCAACGAGGTCAGCGCCCATCTCCCCCGGCGGTGCGCCAGTGGAGTCAGCGCGTAGCCTCCCTCGTTCATCAAAACCTTCTCGACGTCGCTGAATTCGTAACCCGTGTAGTCGATGTTCTGCAGCTCGGTGTCGTGCCACGGGTCCTGGGTGAACTCCCAGTTCGCCTCTCTCGGAGTCCTCCTCCACGGTCTCCAGCTCCGTGGGCATCCCCAGATGTAGACCAACCTGGTGGGCATGGCGCCCCGTCCTGGCCCGAACTCTGGCTACCCGCCGTTTCTGCGCCCGGGTTGGGCTGGCGGGCCGCCCCATGGCTGCCTTCTCGCTGCGTGGCTGTGACATCGGCCGCACAATGAAGCTCCTGATCGGCTCGAGGGAGCAAGAGGGCTACGGAGGGGGAGCGCGACTCAACTCGGCTAGTCAGATCCCCGGAAGAAGCCCCGCTGATTCCTCGCTCGGAGAGGGGGAGGGGATGGGGGGGGGGACTGACTGAAGCAACCTACCTGCCCTGCCTCTGTCGCGCAACCCCACCCCGCGGCAGTCCTGAAACTTGCCCGTCGCGCTCGCCAAGTAGAAGCCCGAGTGGCCAATCCAGGAGTCGTGCACGCTAATCTTCTCCTGGCAGTCGCCGCGCTCGTGCTCGAAGTGCTCGACCCATGCGTCGTGCTGATCCCTGAAGTTGCAGCGCGCGGTCTGGTGGTCTCCCAGCTTCTTCAGATCGACCAGCAAGCTCTGGTCGGTAGTCGGGTCGGAAAGCTCCCTCCTGGGTCGCGCGTGATGCTGGCGAGGCCGGTCATCTATCATTTCCCAGTAGTCCTTCTCCTCATCCTGGTTCGTCATCCAGGTGCCCCGTCCCGCGCGGTCTCCGTGGCGGGTGAAACTGGGGAGCTTCGCCTCGAGTCGGGCCCGGCATGAACTCGGGCGACGGCGCGCCAGTCAGCGCGAGAAAATCTAGGAATCCCGCGGGCACTCGAGGAGGACATGCGCGGGGCAGAGCCAGGAACTCCTGCGCGCCGCACCTGCAGAATGAGAGAGGCACCGCCGCCTTCGAGATAGGGCGAATCCGTTCGCCCGCTCCTTTGGCGACATGCAGGTCCGACTCGTACTTCGCGTGGATGACGTGGCCTCTGAAGTCGAAAGCCTTCGCCATCGTCTCGAGAACAGGCTTTTCGATGGGGGCCTGTGCTGCTGGCGAGTCTACCACTCCGTGATCCTCCGTATCTCTCAAGTGGACCCCGGAGAAATTCATGGACTTGTCGGACATTTGCCCCAGGAAAGTGGCCCGCGACGGTGCTGGCGTTGCGAAGGAATCAACAGAAAAATAAGGGTCTTCCGCCGTGCCGAGGTTGTTCGATGATCTCGTCTTTTCCGACTTCAGACGGTCCTCCATTGATCGGCGTGGCTTCCTGCGGCCCTCTCTCCAATGGCCTTTTTCTCCGCAGTTAATGCATGTGGTTATGTTCTTGATGTCGTCCTTGGATCTCCGGCGACAGCTGGGCTGGGCTGAGGCGGGCGAGGAGGGGGCTCTTTTCCTGTCGGAGAAATCGCGATCAACCTTTCGAGCTGCTTTCAACTGCTTGGCATTCTTCCACGTTCGACGTCGCCTCGAATCTGCCAGATCTGCGAATACCTCGAAGGCCTGGTCCTCATAGAGCTCCGGAGTTTCCAGAGACGCGAGGAACGTGGGCGCCTCTTCTTGGGGGAACTCGACCTCAAAGATGTCTCCTGAGCCACTGGCGTCGTCCTCATCTGGATCTTCGGTGACTGCGAAGGTCTTCATCGAGGGCTGAGATATCTTGGGCAACGAGTTCTTGTCCGTCACGTCTAGGTGCATTCGAGATTTCCTGGCCGAGCAGCTGGAAAGATCTCCTGCCACAGGAGCCCGAAGGAGCACGCGCATCTGTCCAATCAGCTGGGAGCCTTCTTCGTAGCATCTGGCCTTGATATCGTCTGGAAACGCTAGTCCTAGGGATTCGGCTTGAGAAATCTGAGAGTCCCTCCTGATTACGAACTCGGTGAGCGCCTCTCCTCGCTTGAGATTGAAATCGAAAAGGGCAGCATTTTGGGCTTCCCGTTCTCTGTCGCCTGGTCTCTCGCCGTTCAACAATCTGGAATGCTGGATCAATACCTTGACTCCGTCCTCTGTGTCCAGCTTGTCTCGAACGCCCCTGGATTTCCCTTGCAGCTCAACTGGGAAACCTTCTAGGATCTTGGATGCTTGAGTTTCTGGCTGAAGCCCGGTTCTCTTTGTCCAGGACGTCAGGTTTGGAAGACATGTGTCTACATGTTCCAGTCCGAGGAAGGGCGGTGGTACAGAGAAATCTTGGCTTCTCTCGGTCGGGCCTTTCCACGCGGTGCTCCAGTCGTTCGGTCTCCACCGCGGCGTAGCCCACGACCATGCTTGTTGCCACCACCACCATGCCTCATCATCCCAAGTCTGTTCGTCATTCTCTGCTGGAGCGTGCTCACCCTCTTCTTCTTCTGCTGGTTCGCCGCCGCCGGCAGTCTCGTCCGTGCTGGACACCAGGGTCATCGATGTCGTCGAAACGCCCGCACCAGGAGACAAGTCTGCCACCATTCGGGAACCACGCTCCGGCTACCATTGTTTGTGGAGTCCCGTGAGGGGGTGGACATGTCTCTTTCTCGGCGAGCGCTTCAAGTAACCGCAAATCACCTGGGCCCGCCTATGACGGGCTGAAAGCCGAAAAGGCTATGACAGACACATATAAGGAGAAAAAGAAGAGGACAACGGGAACACGGTGTCGACCTGCTGTTGCGACGCTGTGCAGGCAGGCGTACGATGGCTACTCAGAGGTGGTACCGTCCGCGTTTGCGAAGGCACCTCCCTTCCTCGTGCCCTTCGCCACCAATGTTGCGGCTGCGCCGGTTCCAGTACAGGCAAGCGGTTCCTTGTTTCCGATACGAATTCGTCACAACACAATTTGACATCCAAGTCCAAGATACTAGCTCGCCCAGTCGTCGTCTCGCTGCACGCCTGGACAAACCAACTCATGAGTATAAGGCGGTTCGCATGTCGTCCTGGTCTTCCTCCTCCTCCTCATCATCATCCTTTCTCTCCTCTCTTCCTGCCGCAGCTCGTCCGCCTCCTCCTTCTCCTCGTCCTCTTCTTCTTCTTCTTCCTCCTCCTCCTCCAATGTATACAGCTCCATCTTTCTGATTGCGCACAGGGCGTTCCACGTCCGCTACGGCACCCGCCAACGGATGTGGAAAACATCAGCGCAATGGGAATGGATGGGTGGGAGGGGTCGGATGCCAAATGTGGCGCGAGCGCACCTGGCTCATCCTCTCCCTCTCGCCTCACCCCCTCCCCGAACTCCGATGTCTTATTTTTTTCAATACTGGATCCCCGGAAGTCCCAACCCTTTCCCCGGGCCCGGCTTCTCGCGCTGCCTCGTTTCTGCGGCCCCAGGGCCCAGCGAGGGCCCCCAGAGGCCGAAAATGGCTAAAACACACTGTCTTTGTTTTCTGTTCGAGACTTTGGATGTCTGGACCTTCATGCCTATATTTTTTCAAGACTTTGGGCGACCAGATCCCGGAGGCCCCCCCACGGGTCGTCGTCGCCGACCGATCCTCGTCGTCAGGTTTTCGGATCACAGCTCGGGCCTCCAGCGGCAGTTCGGGGAGATCTGGGCACCTCCTGGACGCCTCTCGGCGAGGCGCAGCTGCCGGGGGGCGTTTCGGAGCTGGGCGGCCGCTGGGAACTGAAGAAAACGCAACAAAACCTGGAGCCGCGAGCCTATCTCCTCTCTCCTTTCCCCACTCTCCCTCTACAATTATATCCAATACGAATGCTACTCTCCTCTCTCCCCTGAAGATGGCCGGGGAGGGCCCCCCCCCCCCGCGTAATTTTTTCAACGCAGGATTTCAGAAGCGGGTCTTTCCAATGTTTGTTGTTGCTGTTGTTGTTGTTGCTGTTGTTGTTGCTGCAGTCGGGGGTCGTTTTCGGTTCTTCAGAATAGTGCTGCCACTGCAGCGTGGGCCAGCGCTTTGCCCCCGTCGTTCGGAATGGCCCTCAAACCCCAGCGCGGGCCACTTTTCTGGATCCGAGCCCTTCCTCATCGTTGTCGCCACTCCCTCCTTTCCCCTCCTTCGCCTTCCCCTGGTCTTCCTGCTCCTCCCGCTCCTTCCGCTCCAGCTCTTGCTGCTGCCGTTCGTCCTCGTTATCCTTCTTCCTCCTCCTCCTCCTCCTGTTCCTCCTCCTTTTCCTTCTGCTCCTCCTGCTACGCATCCGCCACCTTCTCCCTCAATCTACGCAGCTCCATGTTTGCGATGGCGCATAGCAAGCTGGGTCCCTCTTCTGGATTTCCAGGTCCGCTATGACACGCGCCAGCGGACAGCCAGGCAATCAGCGCATTGGGCAGGGATGGGCGGGAGGGGTAGGACATCAGAGATGGCGCGAGCGCGCCCAGCTTGCCCCCTGCCCCTCTGGCATCCCAGATGAGAAAGAGGAGGAGGAGGAGGAGGAGGAGGAGGAGGAGGAGGAGGAGGAGGAGGAGGAGGAGGAGGAGGAGGAGGAGGAGGAGGAGGAGGAGGGAGGAGGAGAGGAGGAGGAGGAGGAGGAGGGGGAGGGGGAGGGGAGGAGGAGGAGGAGGAGGAGGAGGAGGAGGAGGAGGAGGAGGAGGAGGAGGAGGAGGAGGAGGAGGAGGAGGAGGAGGAGGAGGAGGAGGAGGAGGAGGAGGAGGAGGAGGAGGGGGAGGGGGAGGAGGAGGAGGGGAGGAGGAGGAGGAGGAGGAGGAGGAGGAGGAGGAGGAGGAGGAGGAGGAGGAGGAGGAGGAGGAGGAGGAGGAGGAGGAGGAGGAGGAGGAGGAGGAGGAGGAGCCCCTCTGGCCTCCCCGTGGGCCCTGCATCTGCCCACCGGGCCCTCCTGGCGTCCTAAAGCTCGTTCGGAGCCCTTCCTGCCCCTGCTCGCCGTACTTCGCTCGCCGCCGCTCGCTCTCCGCCGCCCCCCCCTCCGCGGGCACCCACTCCGCTCCTCCTCCCCCTCGGCGCGCGCCCTCGCTCCCCCACCCCCCGGCCCTCCCCCCACCGAGCTGCCGCCCCCCCCACGCGTAGCTCCGAGCACACCTGGCTTGCCCCCTCCCTCTCTCGTGGGAGGCGGCCCAAGTGGTCTGAACCGGTCGGGGACCCAGACAATCGACTAGGAAGGGGGATGTGACCCCGCTCAAAAACGGTCCCCAGACCCCTCCCAGGGTCCATCTGGTGCAGTTTTTCACCCCAGATCCGTTCCTGACGGTCTCGGGGCCGAAATACGGCGCCCAGAGGCCGAAAAAGGCAAAAAGCTTCCTCGAACCCAGGACCTCGGACCGCGCTCCCCCTTGTCCGCTGGCTGGATCCAGTGCTGGGCCACCTCGGAACCCCGGCTGGCTCCAGAATTTCTGACCGAATCGTTGCCCAGACAGCGCCAGGCACTCGCACCACACGTCAGCCACAACCCGCTCAACACACCCCATTGATACTCCTTACGTCGTACATGTATGCATCTCTCTCTCTCTCTCTCTCCCTCTCTCTCTCTCTCCCTCTCTCACTACATCTATATATATATATATATATATGTGTATGTATATATATATATATATATATATATATATATATATAGATTGTGCCTCCCCGCGCAGCCCCTGTGGCGCGGGCGCCGCGCTGCCGCTGCCCGCCGTGGGTCCCCGCGGGCACCACCCCGAGCGGTCAACGGCTTCCAACCCTCTCGTCCCTCTCCCTCTCGAAGGCCCCCCCTCCGAAGGGGGCGGGGCCTGCCGCCGCCACCGGCATCCCCGCGCGGCCCACGGCGAGGTAGGCCCACCACCCCAGGAGCGCGCAGGCCACCTGCAGCGTCAGGCCTGGCGCCGCTTTCGGGAGGAGGGGGGGAGGAGCAGGTTCTTTCGGGGGGGAGGGAGGGGGGGAGGGAGGGAGGGAGGGAGGGGGAGGATGAAGAGGAGGAAGAGAAGGAGGAAGAAGACGAGGAGGAGGATGAACATGAAGATGATGATGAAGGTCAAGATGATTATGAATATGGAGAATGTGCAGTAATGCTGGTAACGATTGTGCTGGTGATGCTGATGATGGTGATGATGATGATGATGATGATGCTGACGCTGATGCTGATGCTGATAGGCTGCTGCTGCAGCTGCCGAAGATGATGATGCTGATGCTGCTGATGATAATGATGATGATCATGCTGATGACGATGTTGAGGATTCTGCTGAAGATGCTGATGATACTAATGCTGCTGATGATGATTAAGATGGAGAGTAATCGCTGCTGCTGCTGATGATGCTGATGCTGCTGCTGCTGATGATGGTAATGATGATGATGATGATGATGATGATGATGATGATGATGATGATGATGATGATGATGATGATGATGATGATGATGATGACGATGGTGGTGGTGGTGGTGATGATGATGATTATGATGATGAGCGAGGAGGAGGAGGAGGAGGAAGAGGAGCAGGAACAGGAGGAGGAGGAGGAAGAGGAGGAAGACCCTGCTGTCCTTGTACCCCCTGGGGGGCTAGCCTCCACCGTGGTCTCCCGGCGCCCCCTGCCGTACTCCACCCAAGACTTGTTTGGTTGAACGGCCTCCCTGGCGTCAGAGAGCAGCTGGACAGGAGGGGCCAGGCTGGGCCCGTCCTGGTTCTGGAGCTCTCAGTGCCGAGCGCCGAACGCTTTCCAAGACACGCCCACAAAGGAAGTCATCGGGCCACCCCTGGTCCGAAGCCGCAGCCAGGACCAGGCGCAGCCCAAGGACCTCCAGTGAGAATCGAGAATCCCTCGTCCACGCGCCGCCCACGCGCCGCGACGCGCGGCCCCGCGCGCCGCCGACGCGCAACCCTGCCCAGCCGCGGGGGTCAGAGGCCTTGCAGGTGGCTGGCGAGGCGGGCGACGAACTCCATGACGCTCTCGTAGACGTCGGAATCCGAAGGGCCTACGACGAGCCGCGCACCATTGGCCTCCACTCTCTTCCACGAGCGCGCGCCTCCAAGAGCGACCATGTAAGGGCCACTGCCAAAACGCAAACCGCAAAACACCACGTAGAAAACACAACGTAGAAAGCACCGCGTTGAAAACACTGCGTGGAACACGCTGCGTTTGGGCTTTGTGGACACCTCCCATCACGTTCACTCTACCACAAGCGAAAGCGCGCCTCCAAGAACGACAATTTAAAGGCGCCTGCCAAAACACGAAGCATAAAACACCACGTGGAAAACACTGCGTAGAATACACCACATAGACAACAATGCGTAGAACACGCTGCGTAGGTGGGTTCCACGAGTCGGGCCCGGTTTTCGGGTGTCGGTTTTCTGGCTTCGGATTTCGAGTGTCTGGGTTCCGCGATTCGGGCCCGGCTTTCGGGTTTCGGTTTTCTGGCTTCGGATTTCGAGTGTCTGGGTTCCGCGATTCGGGCTGACTTTTCGGTTTCCGTTCTCTGGCTTCGGATTTCCGATTTTCTGGGTTCCGCGTTTCGGGCTGGCTGTCGGATTTCAATGTTCCGGCTTCGGATTTCCGATCTTCTTTGTTCCGCATTCTGGGCCGGCTTTCGGGTTCGGTTTTTCTGGCTTCGGATTTTCGTTTTTTTTGGTGTCGCGATTCGGGCTGGCCTTCGGGTTCGATTGTCTGGGATTTTCTGGCTTCGGGTCTCGGTTTGCGGGCTTCGCGTTTCGCTTTTCAGTTCTACAGCGCCTAGTACAGCGGCCAATAGAGCGCCTAGCACAGCGCCGAATCGAGCGCCTATCACAGCGCCTAATCGAGCGCCTAGTACAGCGCCAAGTACGGCGCCTAATCGAGCGGCTCATAGAAAGCTCACAGAGCGCCTAGTAGAGCGGCTTACAGAGCGTTTAACAAAGCGGCTCCAAAGGCGTCTAACAGAGCGGCCCGGCCCACAGAGCGTCTATCAAAGCGGCTCAAAGAGCGCCTAATACATGTAAGAAGCACCACGTAGAAAACACTACGCGGGGGGGGGGGTGCGAGTTTCCGGCGGATGCGTTTTTTGACACCCCTCACAAGGATCGTGGCCTCCGAGGGGGTTCCGAACTCGAGTACCACCCCTCCCGCACCAAGAGGCTCCGAGGAGGCCTCCAAGAGGCCCCAAGGGGCGCAGAAGAGGCCCCCAAGAAGCCCCAAGAGGCTCCCAAGAGACCCCCAAGAGGCCCTCTAGTGGCCCCAAGAGGCCCAAGAGGCCCCCAAGAAGCCCCAAGAGGCGCCCAAGAGGCCCCCAGAAGTCCCAGCCAACCACGAGATCCCAACCAGCATCCATGAGGCCTCTGACCCACCACCCACGCACGGTGGCGGGATAGGCCGACGGCCACTGGATAAATGCTGAGTGAGAGGAGGGGAGGGAAAAAGAGAGGAGGGACGAGGGCGAAGAAGGATCACATCAGTCAGAGCGCCCCGGATCGGCGGCACTGGCCGAAGGCCACTACAATCTATGTAAGAAGCACCACGTAGAAAACACTACGCAGAAAACACTACGTAGAAAACGCGACGTAGAAAAGACGACGTAGAAAACACTACGTAGAAAACACTTGGTGTTTTTTCCCACAATTAAGTTTTCGATTTCACTATTAAGAAAACCCTTGGGCATATGCAATCCGCCCCGCCCCTCGACTCGCGAGGAAGAGGAGACTCTGCTGCGAGCGGCTCGATCGAAAGGCCCCGCGGGGCCCTCTCCGTCGAGACCGCCCCCGGTGCTGCGCTTCGGGGTGGCCCCGCCCGCCCCCGTGCGGGGCCCTCGCAATAGCCTTGGCAGGCCGGGCGCCTGCCTGGTCTTCCACGCCGTTCATTTTTTTTGGGGGGGGGGGCAGGCGCCCCAGGGGCCGGGCTGGCCCGGCGACGGCCGCCTCCCCTGGAGGAGGCAACGCCCGAGACTGGGCGGCCCTCGCCCGAAGCGCTGGCTTCGACGGCCATCAGCTCGGGCGCCCTCGCGAAACGCGGGGCCTCAATATTGCGAATGAATGGCGCTGGCAGGTCTGGCGCCTCGCGCGAAAAAAGGTGCATTTTTACGTCGGTTTGCCCTCCGCTTGACGAGAGGTGTGGCGGAGATCGACGGGGCTCGCCTTGTCCTGGTCAGGCGGCCTCCTACAAAGTGCAGGGCGCTTAGCCCTTTGCTTGGTGAGCGTCTTGCCCGTGGCTCCGCGCAGCCCGCGTGCGCGCGCCGTGTGCTGCGGCGCTTTTGCGCGAAGACCTGTGCACTAACTGCGTGAATTGCAATGCCGCCTGAGATGCGCTGTGAAGGCCCTTTCCCCAAGTCGCTGCGAGGTCCACCCAGCGGTTCCC